AATTAAAAAAAACCTTATTTTTCAGGTTCTAAGATTCTTTACATAATTTCGTTAAAGTGTATCTACTAATAAAAATCTCAAGGATGAAACAAGTCCTTCATGATGTTTGACTTAATTGATCTAAAGTTCTAGAAAAAGATAGCATTGATCAGACCATCAAACCTAAGAGGGAAGGTAGGGAAGGGTGCGGGGGAAGGAGGAGAGATCAACCAAAGGACTTGTATGCATGCATATAAGCATAACCAATGGACACAGACACCGGGGGGTCGGGGGGTGAGGGCACAAGCGGGGTTGGGGTGCAATGGGGGGATAAGGACACATATGTAATACCTTAATCCAGTGGTTGGCAAACTCATTAGTCAACAGAGCCAAATAGCAACAGTACAATTGAGAGCCAAATTTTTTAAACTTAAACTATATAGGTAGGTACATTGTTATTAACTTAATTAGGGTACTCCTAAGTCTTAGGAAAAGCCACACTCAAGGGGCCAAAGAGTTGCATGTGGCTCACGAGCCACAGTTTGTCAACCACGGCCTTAATCAATAAAGAAAAAAATTAAAAATAAATTTAAAAATAAAGTTCTAGAAAAAGATGGAAACAACACCTAAAAACAATTTTGTCCATATGAGGAAATCACTGAAAATCCTGTCTTCATATTGTCAATGATTAAAGTAAATGTTTTCTTTACTGATAAAATTAAGTTAGGGATAAATCTTTAGAGTTGTTTTTTTTTTGTTTGTTTGTTGTTTGTTTTTAAGATTCATGTGTGACTTAGGAAATGATGGTTTACTGATCAATTTACAATGGGGGGGAGGATAGGGTTACTAAAAATAAGAAACAAATTAATCTCAGAGAAATCCAAGCACAATAATAAAATAAAATAATGACAAATAAAAGAACACACATCTCAGAGGAAGAAGTGAATAATATTTTTGAAAAATCTGTCTTGGCCTTTTCATAATCTTTGGGGCTGCTCACAGAATTAAAAAAAAAATTCCTTTCAACTGCTTTGCATAGTCTGTAATTCTGTGCCTCTCTGGAAGGTTATAAGCATGATGAGATGCTTGTGCTTCTGCACCTGCCTAGTAGGAGAGGGTGCTCTCAGAGCTATTGTTTATCCTCTGTTATTGCTGGCTGGTACTCTTCCTCATGCCTGCCAGTGTTTACATGTACATTTGTCACATAACTTATGAGATGGTTTTGTTAAAGTACTTGATACTTTCATGAATATATTAATGTGAATTTATTAAATATAAAGCTTGTTTGGGTTATAATATGGTGATGCATTATATTCTGGTTTTAGAAAGTTTGTCTTAGTTTCTATACCCCCTGAAATAGACTGAGCCAGGGCTTCGAGTGCAAGTGGTTGATTTGAGAAATGCAGGAAACATCAGCAGGGGACAGGGAACACATGCAGTAAAGGCTGCAGTGGAACACTGGGGGATATTTGGTGGAGAAATCTGGAAATCAGTGTAAAACACATGACTGAGAGTTATCTCACATGAAGGGTGTGGAGTTATACACCCACTCTGCCAGTTCTCTGCAGACGGCTGTGTCAGGGGTACTAACTGGCCGGCACTCCCAGCCTGCTGCACATGGGCAGAGAGGCATCGAGTAATCAGTGATAGAGTAGTGATGAAAACAAGATCATCTAGAAATTATCAAAGGCCTTTAATTTTTAAAATCATTTTGCATTATCCAAATAAATAAGTAAATTATTGAAAATTTACAAGAACTGCTAATATGAAAATAGCATCACCAGTGATGATATTGAGTTAACATTTATTTATTGCCTATATAATCTATAGATGAAAGGATAGGGGATTTTTTTTCTTTATACTTTTCTATATTTCTATATTTTGAAAACTACAAAGCATATTGTTTTGGTATAAAAGGCATATTGAATATAATGCAAATATATTGTTTTTGTCTATTGTTATTTGCATTAGTACATTAACATTTTATAGCAAATACCTTTAATATTGGTTCAATTTAGAACATGAAAAAAAAATAGAATTTTCTAACTTTCTTGCTTTACAAAAAACAAGTAAACCCCACAGGTATAAATTAATCAAATAAATGAATAAACAGAAGCCTCTTAAGGAATAAAATATTTCTCTCTGTGAGGTAATTTCTATTTGATTCATTTAGATAGTTTTTATATACTTTGCTTTTAAAATTCTATAACAATCACATCTACCATAAATTTGCTTTTGATTTGCATTTTTGGATTTCGTTTGCACTGAAAACAAAGAAAATAAAATAGTCTAATATTAAAAATTACACCCAAGCCAGCTTTAGGGAAAGGTAATTTTAATCTGCTATTATCATATTTCAGTGGTCTATGATACACTAAATTTCAAAAGAAAGACCATTAGAGAAATATTTAAGCTGTCTAGATTGGTGAGACCATAGATTCTGTAATATCTTTCAGTAAGTTACCATTTCAGTATATGTGGGAGTCATAAGTAAACAAGGAATTATTTAACATATTCAGAAAGTTCTTTTTACTATCAACCTATTGCCAATTATAGACAACTATGAAAACTAATGAGGACAAAATTTATGCCCGCTTAAATTTCCTAAAACTGAAATGAAAATCTTATACAATTCAAAAATTAATGTCAGTTTACAGTACTACCACAATCTGTGTTTTATTAGCCTTAACACGTAGGAGAATAACCTCTAAAGCTAACAAATTTTTCACTTATTTTAATTTATTTATTTTCTAAATCACTTCTACTAAAGCAAATAAATAAAACATGCTCATTTTACATTTACAAAGCAATTGATTAAGAATTACTTATTGTTTTCCACATCAGATAATAATGAATGTATTTTTTTTCAGGAACTATTAAGGGTTTCTCTTAGTAATTTTAAAAGAAATGAAAATAGTACTAATAAGATGGCAGTTATTAATAGCCTAAAATAAGAGTTTAAAAATTATATTGGCTCCTTCAGAATGTTTTAGATAAGATGATACAGTGTTAATACCCTCTTATAAAATAGCTAATTAAAATGTTGTATATTAATTTGCATTTCTATAAATATATCATTAATTTTTTGAGATTCTATTGTCAATTATCAGAAAATGACAGTTGAACTAGTCAACTATCCTTAAGGGAACTGACTTTTATGATGTCAAGTATGAAGTTAAAACATTTAAAAGTATTGCTTTAAATTTTATTTTAAAAGGTAAAGTCTTGATTTGATGAAGACCTGGAAAATAGGTTTTGTACATATATATTTATTACATTTACATGCACCTCTGAAATAATTTTTAAAATGAATTCTACCTTTTAATTACCTTTTGAGTAAGATTACTAGTTGCTATGCGGATATCTGTTCTCTCATTTTCCCTTGTAAGAAAAATCCAGACTTTTTCCAGGTAATTGATCATGATCACCCAGGAGAAGAATAATATTTCTTAGCCTATGTAGAAGCCAGCTGTGCTCATATCATTACATTTTGTATAAAGACATGTAAGAGAATATATGATGTGCAACTTTAGAAAGTATCTTTAAAAGATGGAAGACACACCCTGACCAGTTTGGCTCAGTGGATAGAGTGTCGGCCTGCGGACTCAAGGGCCCTAGGTTCGATTCCCGTCAAGGGCATGTACCTTGGTTGTGGGCACCTCCCCAGTAGGAGGTGTGCAGGAGGCAGATGATCGATTTTTTAACTCTCTATCCCTCTCCCTTCCTCTCTGTAAAAAACAAACAAACAAACAAACAAAACAATAAAATATATATATTTTTTAAAGATAGAAGACACACCCTTAAACTTTCCTTTTTATCCCTGAGGACATGGCTAAGGATGTGAAGCTCTGGAGCTAAGTAAACACCTTGAAACATGAAGTGGGAGCTTCATGCTATGGACAGCAAAAACACAAGGTGATAGGGGATGAATTTTTGCAGGTTTTAGAGCCACGACATGATCCTATGCTGTCTAGTGGCAGACTTATTTTCCATGAGAGAGAAACAGACTTCTTTCTTGTTTAAGCTACTGGTTTTATTTGTTCGATTTTTGGTTGATGTAACCAAATCTAACCCTAGGTGACCCACAGCTTAATTGTTATTCTGTCACTCCTTATCAGAAATTTTAAATTAAAAAAAGATGTTGACAGAGAGCAACCATAATAGATTTCTCATGTCAATATTTGGAGACCTTAGAAAAATCAACATTCACAAGGTAAATAGTATTTTCCTGGCATGAGATAGCATTCTTTAAAAAGGTTGCTGGCCAGAGATCGTTTCCATAATTCATCTATGTGAACATCGTGTCTTATAATCTTTGCTTTTATTTTCACTCTATTACACTAGGACTTTTTTCTCTTTTGCAAAATTCCTTGGCCACATAATACCAAAAGTGAAAATGAAAATTTTTCATAGTGAGGTGACCATCAGCATCAGAAGCATTGGACTTGTAAATGCTCCATCAAACACATTTTGAAAATGGAAGACTTTTAAAATTCAACATATGCAGGCTGTTTTTGAATTTAAAATGGGTATACAGTCAAAGGTGTATTTATAATTACCAGTAAAGTAAAAAGCATGGCCTTTATTGTCACAAAATGTTTATCACTGAACTTCAGTCCTTCATCTCCTAAATATTAAGAATTTTCTCATAAACCCTGTCTTTCAACTTTTTGGAGAAGGATCTCTTTGTCCAACAGAAATATTCTCTCAGAAGAACTGAATAATCCAGGTATCATTGCTGCCCTCTACTATTTTATCGTCAAAGTCAAAAGCTAGCAAATTCCTGATGACAAAGTTGTATCTGCTAGTAGATAATGTCTTATTTCAGTGTAAGGCTGAATTAAATTATGTTGCCAAGGCCATCCTCAGCTTTAAACACCAGATTGTTGTCACTGGCCAATGTTTCCTCCTCCTGCCTCAAAGCCTCCTGGTTTGGACAGATGCAGTAGTCTTTTATCAGTCAGCACCATGTGGTGGGAGAGCTGCCCTCGGCCCCAGTGCGTCTGGCACTATTTAGGTGATAGCTGTAGCAAAAGTTTTTCTTCTCTTTAGTATCCAGTGCCTTATTATTAGCACTCTGACCTCCTTCTTGAGGGCTTTTCCACGGAGTGTAGACAAAGGCCATCCTAGCATCTGCTTGTCTCCACCTTCTCTCCATCTGTAGTGTTCCTTCTGCCCGATCATGACAAGCTGGTGCTCCTCAAGGTGCTATCCAAGCTGTGCTAGCATGTGAGTCACTCTCTGTGGGTGATGCCATGCGACCAGCACAAAACAGTTCCAGACCACAGAGAAGTGAGTACAATTTGGCCCATTGCCCATCATTTCCTTCTTCTCATCGCCAGCAGCTAGGCTCCCAGTTCTACTCTAGAGCTTTAACATTCCGTGCATTTCCTTGAGAAACACTCTTTTTTACCTCTTCTCTAAACAGTCACCCTTACAATTTGAAACTGTTAAGGGTTCCTAGAGATCATCTGATCCAGAGGCCGGTGAACTGTGCTCTGAGGAATCTTGGCAGTTGTGGGTCTAGCATAGGGAGAGGGCAAAGGCGAGTTCCGGCCTCTAACCCTACTTCCTCCCCAGTGCCTTGTCTCTAACGCTTACATTCTTGTCTCTCATAAGATTTTAGTCTAACAAAATGTTCCTTGGTGAAGAAAACAGTTTGCAAAGCGCTAACTTAGCCCATATCATTGTCATAAAGGGAACTTCATGAAGGGGCATTTTTTCCAAGCTCATCTAGCACAGTGGTGGCAGAACTAAGGCTAGAATTGTGTTATTCCACCACTTGTGTATGAGTGATCTAGTTTTTCTGCGTGTCTACCAGCATTAGTGTAATCACAATTTGTTATTTGAATCATTCAGTAGGTATGTGCTGGTGATTATATTACAACTTGTCTTTTTATTCTCATAGCAGGGTGTTTTGTAGAGCAAAAGTTTATAAATTTGACAAAGTACAATTTATCAACTTTTTCTTTTATGGGCTATACTTTTAGTATGAAGTAAAAATTCTTTGTCTGGTCCTGGGTACAGAAGAGTCCCTCCTACTTTTTTCTCCTAAAAGTTTTACATATTAAAGTTTTATATTTAAGTTTATACTACTTTTGAGTTAAATTTTTTATAGTATATATGTTGTAGACTTAGGTTCTTTGCCTTCCTCTGTCTCTCCCTCACTTCTTCTTTCCCTTCGTTTCATCCTTCCTTCCTTCCCTTCCTCTCTACCTCCCTCCCTCCATCCTTTCTTCTTACATTTTTTCCTTCCTTCCTTCCTTCCTTCCTTCCTTCCTTCCTTCCTTCCTTCCTTCCTTCCTTCCTTCCTTCCTTCATCTCTTCTTTCCTTTTCTATAGATCAATTTAGGGAGAACTGACAAATTTGCTATGTTGAAAGTTTCAATCCATAAACATAGAATATCTCTATGTATTTAAATCTTCTTTAGTTTCTTTCATCACCATTTTGCAATTTTCAGTATATAGGTTCTGTAGATAACTTTTAAAATATTTATACCTAAGTATTTTATTTTCTTCAAAACAGTAAACAGTATTGTGTTTTTAAATGTTGACTTCCACTTGGTCATTGTTAATACACAAAAGTGCAATTTACTTTTTTGAGTGTGGATCTTATATCCAATTAACTTACTAAATTTACTTATTGGTTTTAAGAACTTTTTGTCTATTTCTTAGAATGTTTTACATAGAAGATCATGTTTTCTGCAAATGGAGATGGCTTTGTTTTTTTGTTGTTCTTTTTTTACCAATTTGATTTCATTTTATTTCTTTTTCTTGCCTTTTATACTGTCTAGAACTTCTATTGAATAAGATTTGTGGGAGCATGTCTTCTGATCTGTCCCAGATCTTAGAAGGAAAGTTTTAAGTCTTACAAAATTTACAATGTTAACTGTAGATTCTTTTGTAGATACTCTTATGAGCTGACAAGCCCCCCTCTATTCCTAGCTTGCTGAAAGTTTTTATTATGAATGAGTGTTCAAATTAGTTCAATGTACCACCCATAATCATATTATAACTTTTCTTTAGCCTTTGATTGTTTCTTAAATGTTGAGCCAGACTTGCATATTTGGACTCAGTCTCATGTGGTAGCAGTATATTATTTGTGATGGATTGAATTTTATTATTTTGGGAGGTTTTTTGCATTTCAGTTTATGAGAAATATTTATCTATAGTTTTCTCTTTTTTTCTTCCTACACTGGCAGTCAGACATCCCTCTCACAATCTGGGACCACTGGCCCCTAACTGCACCCCCTGCCAACCTCTGTCTGCTGGCCTGGTTGCCCCCAACTGCCCTCCCTGCCAGCCTGGTATCCCCCAACTATCCCCCTGCCATCCTGGTCGCCCCCAACTGCCCCCCTCTGCCAGCCTGGTCACCCCTCACTGCCCTAACTGCACCCCCTGCCAACCTCTGTCTGCTGGCCTGGTTGCCCCCAACTGCCCTCCCTGCCAGCCTGGTATCCCCCAACTATCCCCCTGCCATCCTGGTCACCCCCAACTGCCCCCCTCTGCCAGCCTGGTCACCCCTCACTGCCCACCCCCCCCGCTGGCATGATAGTCCCATGAAGCCTGCTGTTCAGTTGTTTGGTTATCCCTCACTAACCCCTGCCGGCCTAGTCACCCCACTCAGCCTGCTGTTCAGTCGTTTGGTCATCCCTCACTCACCCCCCTGCTGGCCTTGTTGCCCCATGCAGCCTGCTGTTCAGTTGTTACTGTGAGGTCATCCTGACCAATTTGCATATTACCCTTTTATTAGTATAGATTTTTGTGTGTGCTGTCTCTGTTTGGTTTTGATATCAGGTAATATTAGCCTCATAATATGAGTTAGAAAGCATTCTCTCTTCTTTTATTTTATGTAAATGATTGTTTAAAATTGGTATTAATTATTCCTTTAATTGTTTAACACAATGTCTAGTGAAAGCATAAGAACCTGTAAATTATTCTTTAAAAGAGATTTTTATAAATTAAAAAATTCAGCTTCCTTAGTAGTTTTAAGATTATTCTGGTCATCTTTTTCATCTTGAATGAGTTTCAATAGCATGTGGTTTACAAAAAATTTGTCCTTTCTTCAAAGCCATTCTATTTATTAGTACAAATTTGTTTGTAGTATTCCCTTATTATCTTTTTAATGACTGTAGGATTTGTTATAATATAGCCTGTTCTATCTCTGACATTGGGTATTCCTCTTCTCTCCTTCTATCAATTTATTGATAAATGAAGGTTTATCAATTTATTTTTATCAATTGCTAGAAGTTTATTGACTTGTTAAAGAATAATCTTTTTGTTTTATTAAATTTTGGTTGTTTTTTTTCTAATTTTTTTTTTTATTTATGCTCTTAGCTTTATCATGTCCTTCCTTCTGCTTGCAATGCTCTTCTTTTTCTTTTCTCTTAAGGTAAGAACTTGGGTTATTGAGTCAATATCTTTATTTTTTAAATGAAAGCATTTAATGTTATAAACTTTCCTCGTAGCACTATAGCCACACCTCACAGATTTCAGTGTTCGGGGTGGACAAATGCAGGTTTACAGGTTTACAGTTTTCAGCATGTGAAACACAGTTTATTTTTATATTATTTTTTATTAGTTATAGTATTATTTTCCATATGAATAACTGTAAACCTACATTTGCTAATCCCTGTATTTTAATTTTCCTGTAGTTATACATGCATTTTTAATTTTTTTCTGAGACTTCCATTTTGACCCATGCATTATTTCATAGTGTGCTATTTAATTTTAGTGTGCTAGAAGATCTTTCTGTTGTCTTTCTGGTTTTGATTCTAATATGATTCTACTATGACTAGTGATATAATCTGCATGACTTTAATTTCTTTGAATTTGTTAAGGTTTATTTTATGACCCAGGATATGGTCTATCTTGGTGACTGTTCCATAGATAATTAAAAAGAGTATATATTCTGATTTTGTCAGATCTTGTGTTCTATAAATGTCAATCAGATTTTATGGATTGATAATGTGGTTAAGCTATTTTATATCTATAATTTCTGTCTAGTAGCTCTAACAATTGCTGAAAGTGGATAATGAAGTCTCCAATTATAACTTTGGGTTTATCTATTCTTCTTTCAGCTCTATCAATTTTGCATCATGTACTTTGGAGATCTGTTGTTTGATGCATACACATTTATGATCGCCGTATCTATTTGGTGGATTGATACTTTTATTAATATGTAAAATTCTAATTTGTCCTTGTTAATTATCTTTCCTCAGAAACCTACTTTCTCTGATATTAATATAGCCACTCCTGACATTTATTAAAATTATTTTTGCACAATATGTATTTTTCCATCCTTTGCTTTCATTCTATTTACATTAGGTTTGAAGTGAGTTTCTTTTACACAGTCAGATAATGGTTTTTAGATTTTTCCTTTTTAATGCACTCTGTCAATATCTGTCTTTTAATTGGTGCATTTATATATATATTTTAAAAATAATTATTGATTTGATAGAGTATAAGTATTCCATTGTGGCATTTGTTTTGTTTCTTATCTGTGCTCTCTGCTTCCCATTGCTCCATTTCTTTTGTCTTGCCTTCCTGTATGTTACTTGAATATAGTTTTAAAATTCTATTTTTTTTCTTTTTAGTGGTTTTGAGTATAGCTTTCTTAGCATAATTGCTTGCTCTAGGTGTCGCAATATACATGTGTAACTTACCACAGCTTACTAGTTTGATCACTTCAAGCAAAGTATAGAAAACCTACTTTCCTTGATGTTCCTTTCCCTGTCACTTTTAAAATACAACCAGGTTATTCCTGTAGATCCATTGAGCACCACATCAGATGGTACTATAATTTTTGCTTCAATCATAAAAAATGCTTTAAGAAATTCATGGGGTGAAGAGTGGTGTAGAGTACTCTATTATGTTTACCCCTATTTTTACCCATTCTGTTGTTCTTTTATTTCTAAAGGCTTTAGCTTTATTATGTTATCATTTAATTCTCTCAGTTTATTTCATACTGCTGCCATCAGTTCATTTTATCCTATTTCCTTAATATCCACCAAAAGAACACACTAATTTTCTAATTTCAACCTCTGACCTTTGCTCATAGTTTCATTCATAATCACAAGGCCCCTTGCATTCATTCTGCAAGCAAGCACTTTCCTTCCATAAGTTTATAGTCTGGTTGACAGTTTTTATGATCTCAGGAGTTTTAATTTTATTTATTTAACAAGTTAGGAAACATTTATCCAAATAATAACTATGGTATTTTAGCAATCTAAAACAAATGGGAAATTTTCGAAAGATAAACCAAGTATCAGCTGAAATCCCAGCTATAAAAG